CACACTCTCCTCCCGCCCCGCCCACGCAGGCGACCCGGCCAATCACACGTCGCCGCCGGCCGGATTGACGTGCCTCCTGTCCAATTAGATTCCCCGTCACCCGCCCGTCGACGACGCGGCCAATCACGGGCCGCTGCCGGGCGGATTGACGTTGCGTCGCGCTCGGGCCCCCAGGGGCGCGCGTCCTGCCCAATCCCAGCCGCTGTTGGTGAGTGACGTGCATCCCATCCAATCGCATTCGCCGCTGGCGGCCAAGCTGACTGACGTCGCTCCCTGACGGCTGGATTGGAGGCGGGACCGGCTGACATCACGGGTTGATCTGATTGGCGTCAATCACATTCGCCCCGCCCAGTGGGACGGTTTATCGACGCCGCTTCCAGCCCGCGCGCTTGACGTGTTGACGTAGTGACGCTCGGGTGATTGACGCTCGAGTGATGGACGCGACGTCCAATCGCAGGCCGCCGGAGCAGTGACGGACACCCGCGGCGCCCAATCAGACGCGCTGACGGTAGGGAGGGCGGGCGGGCGGGCGGGACCGAGTTCGATTTGATTTGTGCCGCGTGACAAAGAGCGAGTGAGGGGGGGGGGTTCGGCGCGTGACCGACGTGGCCCCCGGACCAATAGGAAGCTCGGAGCGGAGTGACGGACTGCCCGCCGGACCAATAGGAGACTGATAAGCGGGGGGCGGGAGCTGAGGCCCCGCCCCTCTCTGCGGGGCGACGGTTGAGCGCGAGGCGCGAGCGGACGAACGAACCAACCGCCGAGACCAGACGGGACGAGGTGAGGCGATGGCGGACGATGAGCCGCTGCCTTCCGGCTGGGAGAAGCGAATGAGCCGCAACACGGGTAAGAGAGGGGGCCGCGGGGGGTGGAGGGGTGGGGGAGGGTGTTCATGGGTATCAACAGCCCCACCCCCCGAGCGAAGGGGCCGAGGGGCCTAGTTGCGCTCCCAAGCCTCGGGCTCCCGTAAACGCCAAGTCCGGGTCAACCTCGGGCTGAGGCCTGAGAGGGAGGGAGGGCTGTCTGTAGGGTTTTCCCCCCCCCTCAACACACACACACACACACACACACTCGCACACATACATCACACACACTCACATACATCACACATTCGCATACATACATCATACATCACACACACACACATACATCACACACATACATCTCACACACACATACATCACACACACATACATCTCACATACACACATACATCACACACACACACATACATCTCTCACACACACACACATACATCACACACACATACATCTCACACACACACATACATCACACACACATACATCTCACATACACACATACATCTCACATACACACATACATCTCACACACACATACATCACACACACACATACATCACACACACACATACATCACACACACACATACATCACACACACACATCACACACACACACACATCACACATACATACATCACACACACCTCACGCACATACATCACACACATACACACGCATCACTCAACACACATTCATACATCACTCACACACACATCACTGGCGCACACACACTCCCATCACTGGCACTCACATCACTGTCACACACATCATGCGCACCACTCGCACCCACGCATCACTCGCATACCACACGCATACACAATACATACATCACACACGCGCACACTACAAATGTTACACACGTGCGCACACAGGCGTACTACATACATTACACACAAACAAATACATATATATACACACATGATGCATACTCGCACAGGCACAATACATACAGGCACACAAACAGACACATACTTACACACTCTCTCTCTCTATCCCTGTGTCCCAGAAATGCAAATATTTCACTTGTGCTTCTCTCTTGTAATCTCTCTTCCCTTTTTTAATTTTTTTTTATTTGTTTCCTGGCAAAGTGATTCATTTATTAAAAAATAATAATCCTTGCACTTTATACAGCGCCTTATCACGACTTCAAGACATCTCAATGCGCTTCACAGAATATATTGTAAAGTGTAGTGACTGTATTTCGTGGGCAAAATGTTTTCACGTCCCCCCCCACCCCATTTTTGTTCAAAAAGCATCTTTCTGCATTAAAGTGAGCAAAATGTTTTTTTAAAAAATAAAATAGTTATAATTGTTCATTTAATTAATAGTTACCTTCAATTATATGTAACGTTATAATACAATAATATATTTAATGGAAATGGAATCATATATTAATAATAATCTTGCATTTGATATAGCGCCTTATCACATCGCTGAAACGTCTCAAACCACTTCACATGATATACTGTAAAGTAAATTGTGGGTGAAAATTATATATAAATAATGCGTTTATAAATGTACAATATATGTACAATATTGTTGCTTTACCTGATTTAAAATCTGTGGTGAGGGGTGAAATCAAACAAATTTAAACTTTTCTTGATGGTAGAATATGATATAATTTTTAAGGGAAATATGATCGAATATGATTTTTAGGGGAAAGAAAATTATTTTTGGAGAGAGGGGAGGGAGTGAAAATCGTTCTAACAAGGAAAACACGGTTTTCTTCTGAACAGCTCAAATTATAGTTGGATATCCGAGAAATAGGGAAACTCCCACGTGTAGGTGGCATACATACATATGAAAATAATAATCCTTGCATTTGATACAGCGCCTTATCACGTCGTCGAGACGTCTCAAGGCGCTTCACAGAAGATACTGTAAAGTGAACTGACTGTATATTTTGTGGGCGAGTCGCAGCAGCCAATTTATATGTGGAAGTCTGTCTGGTTCAGGTACTTCTAAACCCCAAACAATATAACGGTTTTGGCTTTACGCCTGTGTCAGACACCCGGCTGACCAAAAAACAAAGGAACAACTGAGTTGGTCAGCGCTTTTCATGATGGTTAGACCCAATGAAGCCTTTTTTTTTTTGAATGAGCGTCATTTTATTGTACAGTCATCACCTAGCAGATCTGGAAGGGAGTTTGCTCTATGGCTGCGGGTTTGGTCCCTCTGTCGATTAGCATTCGTTCACACGACGCCATTTTCAGTCTTGCCTAGCAACCTCCCTGCGTCAACAGTCCTGAATTCAGTGCTGCGAATATTCTCGGGTCCGCACTAGACTGTGGTTAGGGATTCAAATGTGTTAAACCCGACTCTGTTAGTATTTTGTGTCGATGTTTTGAGCTCCAGTGCAGCACTGGGGAGAACGCTGCACTGTCGCGAGTTACTGCCCATCGGATCAGACCTTAAACCGAGATGCTTGTCTGTTCGGGTGGGTGTTGGTTGTCTTCCTGGTGCGGGGTGGGGAGGAGGTAAAGTGGGGTCTCCTCGGAAAAGGTGGAACTTGTTGCCAGAAGGGAGAGCGTCAAAAATGCCTTTGAGAGGAAACTCGATGCATTTGTGAGGGGGAAGGGAGCTGAGGTATAGGAGAACGGATTGGGAGATGTCGAGTGTACACGTCACCATGGATTAGTAAGGCCAAATGGCCTGTTTCGGCTATAATGGTCTGCCTGCTAGAGAGGTTCAAAGCCCCCCCCCCCCCGCCCTCCTTGCCCCGGTTTCCAACCCGTCTCCCGCTACCCAATCGCCGATCATGTTCCCAGCATTCGATCCATGCATTTTGCAGCCCTTATTTAATTAACGGGCTCCTTATTCGGGTCTCATGAGGGGAGGAGGAGAGGAGAGAGAGGAAGAGACATGTTAGTGGAATTCTGCAATATGATCGATAAATGATTTAGTGACTGGTGTTGAACAGACAACATTTACTGCAGTAAAACTGATTCCGCCCTACCCCCTCCCTGTTGAACGAGTGCCTTTTAATTGATTGGTGGTGGTGGTGGGGGGTGGGGGGGGACAACATATTAATTAGAATCGTTTTTCCTACGTCCTGGTGAAGAGACAGTGTTATGGAGTCTATAGTCACAGGAGGAACCATCACTAAACGGCAGCAGGTCCCTCTGTCGATGAGTGTTCAACTGATGCCATTTTCAGCTTTGCCCGGCAACCTCCCTGACTGCGTCAGCAGTCATGAATCGAGTGCTGTGAATATTCCCGGGCCCCCACAGGACTGTGGATAGGGATTCGAATGTGTTAAACCCGACTCCGTTAGTATTTCGTGTCGACTTTTTGAGCTCCAGTGCAGCACCGGGGAGAACGTTGCACTGTTAAGAGGTGCTGCCCACCGGATGAACAACACCCACTTGCATTTATACAGCTCCCCTCGGCGCGGGGTGACGTGCCAGAGCGCTTGGCAGTGGCGGAGCACGATGCCAGGCCGGGGGGAGGTACCCGGGAAGGCTTCAGGCGCGACCTGAAGATGGGGAAGGAGGGGGCAAGGCATAGGGATTGAGGGAGAGTGTTTCAGAGTATTGGGGCTTAGTGGCTGAAAGCGTAGCCACCGATACATGAGACGTTAAACCAAGACGCTGTTTATTTTGCTAGATCCTGTGAACACTATTGGAAAAGAGATGGGAGTTTCTCCTGGTGTCCTGGCCAACAATCCTCCCCACATACTGGCTGTTCAGCTCACAGTTGTTCGAGGGACCTTGCTGTGTGCAAAATGGCTGCTGCATTTGTCTACTACAAATCGCTGCACTTGTTTAGTAATTACTACGATGTACTGAGGACCCCCGGAAAGCGATCCCCAGACCGAGTTCCTAATGACTGCTCGGTAAACAGGCGTCTTGTGTGGAGTAAGGAAACTTACCTAAGGTTTCGCTCTGCCTGTGAATCGCACCGGGTCCTCTTGCTTGCGAGGCGAGTGCTTAACCAATACGCTACAGGACTCCACAGAGATACAATAGAGGTCGATGGTACTATTTTATCACTTTCTTTGACTTGGTGAGGCATATTTTGCTGCGCAGCACGATTTGTATCGCTTCCGAGGCCTTTTATTAATGGCTTTTTTTGTACATCTGTCCCTAAAATACTGCCAGCTGATTATTGTGAGATTTATGTATGTCTGCATTCAACATATGACCTTGCACAAAATAAGTTGAACCCGTCATGAGATTAGCATTTTGTCATATTGTAAAACACTCCGGGGGCTGAGCCAGTGGATTATGTTAGTAATTGAATATTTTTATTGAATTAATTTTACTCTTCGCCTGTCTGACCTTTGTCTTGATCCAATCCTTTGGGGCTTTCTGATATTGGTTTGCCTGGTCAGCTCTCCACCATCTCCCCTGACCCGAGCTGCCATTGAAAAGCCTTCACAGGACCGATTTGGTGGAGTGTTTTGAATTAAAGAGCCCAGAAGGAATAGGAGACCGAGGCACCTGCGATGCTCTCTGTTGCAAGGCAATGGCCAAGGAATGCTGGTACCAAGGGAGATCCAGATCTTTTCTGAGTGAATCTGATCAGGTTTTAAGCTCACTTCCAAATCTCGTCAGCAAAAGCCTTATTTCATTACTAAGCAGGTCTGAAATAAAGACTTTAAAATGGCTGCTGCATTTATACAGTGCCTTTCACATCATTATATAGCGTCTCTAAGAGCTTAGGGACGCGATATAAATCAAGTTGTCGTAAAGTGCTTTACTGGGGGGGGGGGGTGAGGGGGAGATGATCGGAAGCACGGTCAAAGATGCAAGTCTTGAGGCTGGCTTGGAAAGGGGGGGGGGGGAAGGTGTAGGATGGCTTTGCCCGCCAGCACAGTCACTACACAGTAAAATCCTTTGAAGCTTTGAGTTGCCTGGACGACGTGGCGAGGCGCGATATCAAGTGCAATTACCCTGATGGAATGTGTGTCAGCGTCAGTTGTCACACTTTGGGAGAAATGACTGAGTGTGTGCGTCTGCTGAGTGAAAGGTTACTGACAGAAGAAGCTGCGAAGCATCTGTCTCAATTGGTGAGCTCCAATGGCCAACCCCCCCCTCCCCCCACCCTCGCATCCCCTTCCCTCCATCATCAACGGGTCGTGCCTTCAGCCACCACAGCCTGAAGCTCTCTTCCCCCAAACCCTTTCCGCTCCCCCCTCCTCCTTCCCCTCTTTTAGATCGCAACCGAAGCCCTTCCTCTTCGATCGTGCTTACGGTCACCTCACCCAGGCTCGGGCGTCGGGCTCCCGCCACCGTTAAGCGCTCCGAGACGCCGTGGAGGGCGCTGTGCGTAAATGCAAGTTGTTGTTGCGTGGATTCCGAGGACTGACCTTGTGCACGTGATTTTTTTCCCCCCCCCCCCCCTTCCAGGTCAGATATATTACTTCAATCACATGTCCAATCAGAGCCAGTGGGAGCGGCCGACAGGAAGTGACTCGGGCGGTGGGGAACACGACAAAGTGCGCTGTTCACACCTGTTAGTGAAGCACAACCAGTCTCGGAGGCCATCGTCCTGGCGACAGGAGAGAATCACACGGACCAAAGAAGAGGCACTAGAGATATTAAATGGTGAGTCGCGGGGAGGTATGGGGATGGGGGCAGCAATCCTCTTGTCTTTTGGCTGAAATGTTCTGGTCTGAGGGGGGCAGAGACGAGACTTCAATTGGACACTTGGAACTCACTCCCTCATCCCTTCCGCCTTGCCCACCCCCTCACTCCCCCATCTTCGGATCGCGCCTTAAGTCCTTCCTCTTCGAACGTGCCTCGGGTCACCTCCCCACCATCCCCGGCTGCTCCGCCACCATCGAGCGCTCTGCCTTGCCTGAGGGTCACTGTGTAAATGCAAGTTGTGGTTATTGTTGAGACAACAGGACTTGGGTGAGGATCCCTGACTGTCCAGCGCCTGACGTGAAAGGCGTCAGACAAATGTAAATTGTTGTTGTTTGTCCGCACCTCCGAAGAAATTATTTTGTGGATGTTAAAAACATCCTCGAAACCCTTGGGAAATTTGATCGCTTCCTCCCAGCATAAAAGGCTCCCGGTGTGAACATTATTGTGATTTGGTGATTGCAAGCCCAAACCCCCGGCCCATCACATCGCACCCTTCTCTGCTCAAACACCGCAGAAAATGTTTAGCATGGATTAACTTTTAGGTCCCTTTAAGGTTGGCCTGTTGTGAAACGCTTTGAAACGTCCTCCTGATGAAATAAAAAGTGCTTTGTGCGATGTAAGGATTTTGCTTTGAGCCCCCTGGCCAACGTACCACCCGAGGACAAGCGGGTGGATACTCTAATTGGGTTTCTGTCTGCCCTATTAAACTCCTTCCCATCAGATCTGACACTGGCCAAAAGCTTCACAGAGTTGCTGAACAAGAGTTATTGGGAAAAATAAGTGGATTGCTTGAGGTGCGATAAGCTGGATCTCTTCAGAGCAATAGAGGTTTTATGGTTTAAAACATTGAGGAAGTGTTTTCTTTTCCAAGAGCTATTGATTTCTATTTTTAAGTATGAAGGCTAAAATATCCTTGGCAGCCTGCTATTGATTTGCGCTGACGGCGCAAGAAATCACCATTTTGGGGGCTGGCACACCAGAACGGAACGCTGAACAGGAATCCCCGTCATTTAATAGGCCTGCTTCAAATCCCCCGGCCTTGCCCGCCCCACCATCTCCATTCTCGCGGGCCCTCTGCCTCGCCCGCTCCCTTACCTCCTTCAAGATCCGTCTCGAGACCCTCCTCTTCCACCGTGCCTTTGGTCACCCTCCTTTCCCCACACTCCCCACCCTCCCTCCCTTCTGATCCCAACCACCAGCTCGGGTGTGGATCCCTGATGGGTCAGCCCAGCGCCTTGGGACATCCTCCTGGCGTGAAAGGCGCTGTGTAAAGTCACTTGTTGTTGTGCTGGCTCCTTTAAAGAGTGATCCTTTCAGGCCTGTTTGCCTGCCCTTTTCTCCGTTCCTCCCTCCCACCCCGTATCCCCTTTTAGCTGTCAATTAAATTGAAAGCTGATATAGATTTTGCCTTGCCCACAGCTCCCTGCAGAGCATTCCACGTCCTAACCGCTCTGTGTCTGAAGGACAATTCTAGCCTCCCTGTTTACTCGCTATCTTGAATTGATGCCTTCCAGTCACTGACTCATCGCCCCCTGGGACTAATTTCACCCTTTTGACTCTTATTAAAACCCCTCATAGTTTAAAAGTCGTCCATTAGGTCAATCTCAGCCTTTAATCCGGTGTCTGCTCATAGGCCAAACCACTCAACCTTGGTAGCAACCCGTAGGAGGCACAGACTGTATTTGAGGGAGGGGAGAAAGGTGTATTTATCAGAGAGAACTCCGCTCCCACCCCACACTCCCCCATTGCACCCTTGTAACTGGACCTTGCGTTTGATATAGCGCCTTACCATGTCGTCAAGACGTCTCAAAGCGCCTCACAGAACAGACTGTAAAGTGGAGTGACTGTGTATTTGCACTTAAATTGTAGCACATCTCTCCAGCGTAGTTTATTGCGGTTGGCCGCGGAGGCCTAATGGAGCTAGTTGAGAGTCCGAGAGAGAGAAAGGCGACTGTGCAGACCGTTTTCGGGCAATGTATCCTCTGGGCCTCTAGAGGAGATGATTCAGCAGGGGACCTTGTAGAAGATGCTAAATGTGATTGAGAAGGTGAGGACACGGGTTCACACTCACGCAGAGCAATTTTGGGTCAGGCACCAGGAAGTATGTCTTTACACAGAGGGGCAATCAATAGGTGAAACTCATTACCGGCCAGTCGGTTAGAAGCCAGCGGTGCGAGATTGGTTTGTGAGCCAGTAACACAATACTGCACGGCATTCGAAAGAGTCAAATGGGGCAAAGCCTCGTGATCCAGGTCTTCATGTATTCTGATACAAGAGAGCCTTTGAGTAATAATGATGACGATAATAGTCCTTGCGTTCCACGCGGCGCCTTATCAAGTCATTGAGGCGCTTCACAGAATATATTGTAGAGGGCAGTGACTGTGTAATTTGCGGGCGAGACCCGGCAGGCAATTGCGCACAGCAGTGTCCCTCAAAGTCATGGATTGAGTGACCAAATTTATTTTAGGGCGAGGGATTACTACCCCCGGAAAAGCAGTCCGCCAGTTGACCTACTTATTGCTAGGTGAACAGGGGCGCGTGTGGGGAGCAAGGAAACTCGCTTACGGTTTAGGTGTAAACGCTGGTTAGCTGAAACTGTGCGCGTTATGTGTGTGTGTGTGTGTGTGTGTGTGTGTGGGTGGGGGCAGCCCTGGGAAGAGGTTACTTTCCTGCCTCCACTCCACCCCCTCCTTCCGGGGATTGATCTGTGGTGAGCGTGCCGCAGCGCGAAGCGAGCCATTTGGGGGGTTTGGCACAGGCCCACGTTTGGGGGGTGGGGTGGGGGGGGGGGGCAGATTTAACGCACATTCGCTTAAAACCGTTCCCTCACCTCAGCGTTTAACGAGGATGGATCTGTCTGGCTGCCTGCGTTGAGAAGAGACGTTAATGATCAGACATTGTCAGCACTTTACGGCTGTCCAGAGCCTCTGCGTTAACCACTTAGCAAGGGCAGCTTCAAAGTTTCGTGTCTTTTCCCCCCCCCCAGTAATTCCGTGCCATTTCTGCTCGCCCTCCCCTTGAAGCGTAAAGTTTGAATCGCATCTGTCTGATTTTCCCCCCCACTCCCCCATCCAACTATTTTATGGGTTCGTCAAATCTTTTGATGGGGAAAGTGGTGAAACGCGCAACTTTTGGATCGATCCACCGTGGATATATTCCCCCCCCCCCCCCCCCGATTACAGTAAAACTGGCGGCCGGCAGCTGTCTGTCTCTCTCTCTCTCTCTGCCTTTTCAAGAGTTTACTATTCCTCGCACGCTTGACACAGCTCATACTTTGCATCAATCGTATTAAAACATCTGGTCCCAACTGATGCGACTTGTGTGAGGTTTTACTGTAGTAATAACTCAATTGTGTACTTCAGTTGAAATTAATTAAGCAGCAATTTGGCCAATTTAATCATCTTAAGCGCCTGCAGATGAGATGCCCACCTCCCCAACACATCCTCTGGCGTCTCTCCTCTCCTCTCCCCCCACCCACCCCCCCCCCCCCAAAGATTTGGGTCTCGCGCGTGAGGGTCTCGCGCGTACTCTTTTAACCGCCTGTCTGCGTGATGGGTTCCCGCGTGTGAGAAATACACAGTCACTACACTTTGCAGTATATCCTGTGAAGCGCTTTGAGACGCCTGGAAGACGTGATACCAAATGCAAGGATTATTATTGCTACGGTCGGCCGATTATATAAATGCAAGTCGTTGCTTCGGTCTGTTCCCAAGCACTAACGTGTTGTCCTATTTCCCCCACAACCCCCCTCCCTCCCTCCCTCCCCCCCCCCCCCACCCACCCCCCTCTTTTCCCTCACCTGTACAGATTATATCCGAATGATCAAATCGGGAGAGGCTACGTTTCAGAGCTTAGCATCAAAAAACAGTGACTGCAGCTCGGCAAGGGAAGGAGGTGACCTGGGATATTTTGGGCGAGGTAAGAGGATCTATCGAACACTGAGGTGCTTCAGTAACTCTCGCTGGTGGGCACAATGCTTCCTGATTCCACTCCCAAAGGGCCAAGCTCTCGTTTTAAGATGAATACAGGAGTCCTGTAGCTCAGCGGTTAGAGCACTCGCCTCGCAGGCGAGAGGACCGCCCCCCGGGTTCGATTCCCCGGACGGGTCGGGTCAGGGCGAAACACTGGGCAAGTCTCCTCGCTCCGCGCACGCGCACCTCTTGTTTACCTCGCAGTCAGTAGGAACCCCGGTTGTTAGTCGAAGGGCGGATCGCTTTTCCGTGGGTAATAATCCCTTCAAAAAAAAATAATAATAAATTGTTCACGACTCTTTGTGGGGACGCTGCTGTGCGCAATTGGCTGCCGAGCTTCGCCCACAAAGCACGCAGCCGCTGTACTTTACAGTATGTTCTGTGAAGTGCTTTGAGACGTCTCGAAGACACGATAAGGCGCCGCGTCAAATTATTATTATTATTCCCACCCCCCAGCGGAAACAGTTCCCCTGCAGCCACCCTATCGAATCCCTTTACCGTTTCTAAACCCTTCCTCTCCAGAGATGCAGAGGAGACTGACAAGAGCCAGACAGACGGGTGGTCTTTGATATTCGAGCAGTGACCTGTTGCGCTCACTCTCGCAGACGGTAGACGGGGTGGGGGGTGGGGAGGGGGGGGGGGGTGACAGCAAACAGACCTGAGTGGCCACACCGCAGTGTTGGGCTGTGGCTGCCTTTTGGAATCACCAGGTGGCGTCAGGGTGCTTTGCAGTGCTGTGCTGTGCTGTTCAGACCAGCTTTCTTACCAAGGGCGACAGCGCTAGCGGGGATAAGCCATTGCTCTGCCTAACGTCGAGCACGCTATTCAATTGGAGGGAGGCGGAGAGAGAGGAGGGGGGAGTCTGTGGGGGGGGGTAAGGGTGTGTTACGGCAGGTTGCAGAGAATTTAGAGTAAGCTCCTCGATTCGTAAAGAGAAGGGAGTTTACCCGGCAGTAAGTGGGGACCCGGTTGTTAGTCGATTGGCAGATCACTTTTCCCTGAGTAACAATCCCTTCGCATAAATAGTAATAATCTGGTCGCATAACCCACGCCTGTTTGCGGGGGGGGGTGGGGGGTGCGCTGCCGATTCGCTTTGCGGCATATCCTGCGAAGCGCTTTGAGACGTCTCTCGAAGACGGGATGAGTCTCTGCATCGGGTGCAAGGATTATCATTATTATTATTATTATTTTTATATTTATCATCGGATAGTTTCTCCCTGTCGTGTGGTTGTCAAGTTATTTGTGTGCCACTGCCTACCCGAGAGAGAGAGGGAGAGGGAGAGAGAGAGAAAAAAGTCATTTCACGCTCGATAGTAATTGCTGTGATACCTCGGGATGCTTTGGCATTTCAGACAGCTATTAAAAATGCTAATGATTCCTTCACGGTTCCAGTGGTCGAGACGTCATCAGCTGAGGTGGAGTGGGGCAGCGTGAAGAGCGGGTGCTTTTTTAGGCTCCCCCACCCCACCACCACCCCCCCCCCCACCCACCCCCTAAAGCCCCAGCCCAGCTCAGCACGTAACCCTGTGCTCTGTGTTAGGACCGGTGTCTGTGCTGTTTCCCCCCACCCCACTCTCGTCTGGCTTCCCGCGTAACTGGCTGACGTAGGGAGTGTTTTAATCGGCGTCTGTCTTACGGGCCGGCGGCTCGTAATTGCCGCCGCGCTTCGTCCGCAAAGTACGCGCTTGCCAGCGTATTCCGTGAAGCGCTTCGAAACGTCTCGAAGGCGCGATCGGGCGCTGCGTCGGATGCTTTCTGGGGTCCATTTATGTAATGCTGAGCTCCCTTACCACCACACCGTCTCCAAACTCCGGCACCACCCCCCCCCCACCCCCCACTCCCACTCCCCCCAGGCTCCGCCGCTGTCGAGCGCTCCGGGGCGCTACCCTGCTCGGGGTGGGGTGGGGTGTGCTGCTGTGTGGGTGTAACGTTGTAGCTCCGAGCTGCATAATGAAGCATGAAATGAACAGTATTTTTTTCTGCAGTAATAGATCACCACAACCAATTACCATGTGCTGTTGTGTTTCTCCCTCTCTCTCTCTCTCTCTCCTCCCCTCCTTTTTCTCTCTCTCTCTCTCTCTCTCTCTCTCCCCCTCCCTCCCTCCCTCCCTCCCTCTTCCCTCCACCCCCCCTTTCCCCCCCCCTCTCTCTCTCTTTTCTTGGATTGTAGGTCAAATGCAGAAGGCCTTTGAAGAGGCCACGTACCTTCTGAAGGTGGGCGAGATGAGCGACCCAGTCTTTACGGATTCTGGGATCCATATCATCCTCCGGACCGGATAAAATGCCTCCTCTCCGGGAGGGGGGCGGGGAGGGGGGGGAGCAGATCGTCACCGCGGGAGACTTTTTTTTCGGATTGGGGGGGGGGGGTGTGAATTAAAAACCACAACCACCACCGCCGCCCTCCTCGCCCCCTCCTCGCGCTGCTTCCCGCTATTTAACGTGGTCTTCACTTTTGCGTGATGTGACGTGCTCGTAGTCTCTCCTTTCCTCCCTTCCCTCCTCACTCTCCCTCCCTACCTCCCTCCCTCCCTCTCTCTCTCCTCCCCCCCCACCTCCCCCCCTCTCTCTCCTTCCCTCCCTCAGTCTCTCCCTCCCTCTTCTACTCTCCCTCCCTTCTCTCTCTCCCTCCCTCCTCCTCTCCCACCCATCCATACCTGAAAGAAATTAACTGACCTGGGTATCTCTCTCTCTCTCCGTGTGTATAAACTGAATGTTTTGACGTGTGCATCGGTGCCCTGATAACGAACAACACTCTACGATTCCATGCCCTCCCTCCCCCTTCCTCCTCCTCCTCCTCCTCCTCTTCCTCCTCTCGAAACCAGCAGTGATTTCAAGCTGACATGCGTCTCTTTCTCGTGTTCAAAGCAAGCTGAGCCTTAGGGTTAGGGGGTTAGGGTTAGATCTGTTGCGGTGTGCGAGTGATTTGTTTTAATTCCACCCCCCAACACCCCTCTCCGCTCCCCCCCCCCCCACACAGCATTCAGAGCCTCGCCAGGAAACGACACTATCCTAACCCCGCCCTCGCCGTGCTATTACCCCTATGGATCCACGGGCGCGTGCTGACTGCAATCGGCTCCTTTGCGCTGCGTTGGTTTGGTGAACGCCCTTGCACTGAAAACAAGACGAGTCCGGGGCGAATCGAGGTAGCTCCCCCATGGCTGCTATTCCTCCCCCCACCCCCCACCCCATCCCTCCTCTCAACCCCGGCCCACCTCAACACACACGCACACACACACACACACAAAAAAAATTTGCACATCATGTACCTTAAACCCCGGTGGGTTACTTTGCCTGTTATTCCCTTCCCCTTTCCTCCACCCGGAGCACTTCTTGCCATGTGCCCCGAGGGTCTCGAGCGTGAATGAGGGGTGGCGGGGCTTGGGTTGGGTTGGGTGGGGGGGAGGAAGAGGGGAGTTATTTTAACCGGGGTCTTTGCGACGTCAACGCCGCTCTTTAACCAAGCGACCGTTCCCCGGGAGCATCGTCTACATTCCTGACTGTCGTTTTGTTAGAGCCAAATGCTTTCACCCACCCTCCTGCACCCAACCTCCCCCCCCACCCATCCACCCACCAAACCCCACATCCCCCCCCCCCCCCGATCGGTCCTCTCCCCCCCCCCCCCAAGGTTGTTCCAAGTGCAGTTAACAGTGTGCCAGTCACACACTAATGAGGCTGTGCATGTTTGTAAGGCTTCGAGTCCAAAAGACACCCTTAAGAGGAAATAAAAGACTTCGACACAAAGGTCACTTGTCTTCTCCTCCTTGAAGCTCTATCGGGGGGGGGGGGTGTGTATGGGGGGGAATGATGAGCCTTGTCGGGATTTATCAGGTCTTCTGCGCACGGTTTGCTCCCCAACGTCCCCAAGGCTCCGCTCAAAAGAAATGGCCTAAACGGAGCTGAGTGAGGGCGGTGACGGTAGGATTTCACTCCCATCCCGGAGTTCCCTCACCTCCTTCGAGGCCTTAATAGTAATAATAATGATAATAATCCTGGCATCGGACTCGACGCCTCATCGCGCCTTCGAGACGTCTCAAAGCGCTTCACGGGATACGCTGCAAAGTGAATTAACCGTGTATTTTGTGGGCGAAACGCGGGCAGCCGATTGCGCCCAGCGACGCCCCCACCATGAACGGTCGTGGATTGAGGCAACCAATTTATTATCACTTTCGATGGGAATATTAACCCCCCCCCCCCGGAATAGCCATCCGCCAGTCGACTTAACAGCTTAAACAGAGGCGCGCGAGTGTGTGTGCGGAGTGTGCGCGGTTGTGGTGGACGGGATCAGATAGGGGAGAGAGGGAGAGGAGGGGGGGGGGGTTGAGAGGAGAGAGGGAGGGGGTTTGAGGGGAGAGAGAATTGTGTAAGATGTCAACAGAGGACGGGGCGGTGACAAATTTAGCAAACGGCAGAGAGAGAGAGAGAGAGAGATGGAGAGGAGAAGATTTGTGGCTTCACACTCCATCAATCTCCCAAAGTGAAATAGATTGCAATCTGAGACCTTCCTCTCCGTACAGATTAGGTGGCAGACGACTTAATGGGGTCTCGGAAAACCTCCCCATTAATTCACCGGCTGTTTATTTTCAAAACAGGCAGGAAATAATCACATCCCCACACTCGAACCCCCCCCACACCCCCCCCCCACACCCCCCGGGGCCTGAAGCCTCGCGACGGAAGCCCTGAGTCAATTTTTTTTGGGGGGAGGGTCTTTTTTTTTTGGTAACGGGTCGAAATGTTCCCGGTGTCTGACCCAGTTTCCACCCGACTCTAGGAGAGTCCTGTCCCCTGTTCCCCCCCCCACCCTCCCCCACTCTCCGCAAAGCCTTGACTCTCACCAACCTGCGCCTAATACTCTCCGGAATTAGGTAAGGCGGGATGGGTCCCTCCAATGGAAGAGCGAGCGAACATCCCGGAGAACATTGGGAGAAAGTTGGCAAGCGCTACCTCGAATAATAACTATAATAATAATAATATTAATAATAATATTCCTGGCATTTGCTGCCGCTCCTTATCACGTCTTCGAGACGCCCCAAAGCGCTTCGCGGGATACGCTGCAGCGCGGAGTGACTGTTACTCTCTTTAAGCGGCGCTGTTTCCGCGAGCGTCACGACAGACACCAGGTTGGGCAAACGTCCTGACGCGCGGGGTGGTGGGGTGGGGGGGGGGGGGCGATGGTGGGGGCTTAAACCCCACAACCTTCTGACTCGGGGGTGCGGGTGGGGGGGTGGGCGAGAGAGTGCGGCTGAGACACAAACAGGTAACGCAGTGTTGTGGCTCGAGCGTGCTTCACCTGCTGAATAATTTCTCTTATATCTCTCTGTCCCCCCCCCGCCACCCCCCCCACCCCCAAGGGCTTGCTGTTAGCTCGGTGTCGTGAGAGGTGACGGCTGTGCTCTGCGGGCTCCTCTTAACGCTGACAGGTTTGAGCTGAGACAAAGACACTCGGGTCAATATCACTGCAGTTGTCTGCTGACAGCTATTTGAGAGCGAGAGAGAGAGAGGGAGAGGGAGAGGCAGACGCCAGAAGCCGCTGATAATCGAGACAGGTGACGCTGCCCTTGTGAGCAGCGGCTCTGAAAGACTCCTGGAGCTAAAAGATTGCATCTCTACGCAGTCTTTACGCGAGTCAGGGTTGACGTTCACTCAATTCGGGGTGGGTGGGGGGGGGGGGTTGGGGGGTGGGCGGTGGATCTTTTTTTTTTGCTGCGCTAGAGATGCCATCCTTCGAATGAGACATCAAACCGAACCCCTTGCCTTCCTGTCTGCTCGCTCAGCTCGACGTTGTAAGACCTGCCTACGATTAGAATAATCCGAGCACTTGATACGGGTCCCCATCAGGTGGTCGAGACGTCTCAAAGCGCCTCGCGGGACATGTGCTGTAAAGCGTAGTGACTGTGCGTTTGTGTTTCCTGAGCGAAATTGCGCCCAGCAGTCGTGGGCTGAGTGAGCAAATTGATAGCATTTTTTTATTTAGAAGGGATTATTACCCCCCAACAACACCCCCCACCACCCCACTCCCGGAAAGTGATCCATCAATCGACTAACAACCGGGTTCCTACTTACTGCGGGAAAAGGGAGAGAGGTGTGTGTGTGTGTGTGTGTGTGGAGTAAGGAAATTTGCCGAGGATTTCGCCCTGACCTGACCTGAGCCGCCCGGGAATCGAACCCGGGTCCTCTCGCCTGCGAGACGAGGGGTCTAACAATACGCCACAGGACAGACACTGCGCTCGAAAAAGAGCAGAGTTTCCCTCCCCCCCCCCCTCTCTCTCTCTCTCTCTCTCTCTCTCTCCCGGTGTCCATTTCCATTGGCGGCCCATTTCCCGGGCGAGAACCTCCTTCCTCCCGGCATCAGATAGGAAGGAACACGGGACCAGGAGGAGGCCATTCAGCCCTTCGAGCCTGTTCCGCCCTTTAATTAGAGCACAGCTGATCAGTGCCTCGACTTAATCCTTTCAATTCCAATTTCCCTTGACATTCCCTTAACCGCTACCGAAAATCTACCGGCGTCGCTTTCGAAGACGTGGACGGGTTTAGCGTCCACGGCCTTTTTTTTGGGGGGGGGGGTGGGGGTGCGAAGTGGGGTGGGGTGTGTGTGTGGGGGGAGAGTTCTAGATGTCTACCCCCTCCTTGAGCGAGAAAAAATACTTGCTGATTTCGCTCTGGTTCTCATCTTCAGACCAATCTCCCAACGGCGGGAATTTTTTCGTGCGCGAGCGCGCGTGTCTGCGCGCGTGTGCGCGCGCGTGTCTGCGCGTGTGTTGTCCGCGCGCGCGTGTGTGCGTGTGTGTTGTCTCTGTTTCCGCGTCTAAGGGGGGAATCCAGCCACGGCGACTCACTAATAAATACCACTCGCCTTCCCCCAGCCGAGACCGACAGCCGATTCGCGCTCGACAAAAGCCCCCGGGCGTCCGTCGAGGAAACGCGGTGCTCCGTTTCGTCCCCGACTAAAGTGCTTTGCGCGCTCGAGACCAACCCCCCCCCCACCCCCACCCCCACTCCCCGTCTCCCTCGCCGCGATCTGTCGGTGTTTTATTTTCCCCGGCGCGCGCCGGCGGTTCAGTCGGAGGAGTTTTTTCATCTAAGTTTCATCACCGGCGAACTAATTGTGGGCAATCGGCTGTAACTGCTGCGATTGCGTCACGACCCGGAGCCGCGGCTCATTGAGATGAAAATGTCTCCAGATTTCCTCGTCAATTAACCAACCATTCATCCACCTGCCCTCCTCATCCCAGCAGCTTGTTTGCTCCTCTCTCTCTCTCTCTCTCTCTCTCTCCGTCTCTCTCTCTCTCTCTTTCGCCCACAAATATACAGTCAATTCACTTTACAGTGTGTTCTGTGAAGCGCTTTGGGACGTCCTCCCGAC